CGTTGGGCCGACCTCGCTTGCGATGTTCTGCTTTCGGGCCAACCGTGGTCTAGCTCTTAAACCCGTCTCAACAAGCGTCCTAGCTTTTGACAACAGCAGACAGCGGCTTCTCAATGATGCTCAAGGGTTGAGCCAGGAGCTGGTCATGCAACAGTCACGGCCTGCCTTGTGGCTTGGATTGCGATTACTTTGCATACTTGCTGGCTCAACTCGCGTTTGGCACCTGTCATTGCTTGGCTTGGGCTGTCAAGGCGGATCTCTTTTCCAATTTTGGTGGCCAACTGCCTTGTGCGTCCTGCATAAGCACTCATGGGCGGAAGTCCCAGGAACAGCGAGAAGCAATATTCCACGCATTTCTTCAGTTTGACATCTCACAGAGCAGACCCGAGACTCCTGGTGCAAATCCGAGCTTGGGACAAGGCCGATCTCGGACCGGACTTCTGGGACTCGGACCTTCGGGCCCACCTGTGACTGGAGCTTAGGGAAGGGGGACGTGGCTGGATCCAGCCGACCTTTCCACATCCATTTGCCTGTTGGCTGTGCAAGGACGCCGGCAGATTGTTCCCCACCCGTCAGGTTTGGGGGATGTTAGGTTTCAAGCGACGTCGGATGTGCTCCGACCACGACAGCTGTGACAGAGTTGGCGCACGCTGGAGTCTCACCTGACAACAGCCCAGACAGCGGTGACAGACGAGATTGTGGTGGCCTGCCATGCTGGGACCCACCCGAGGTATTTTTGCTTTGTCTAGCTGGCTTTGCAGCTTTTGGCTTTAGCTTCTTGCTCACCTTGCAGCGACCCAACATCCGCAAGCTTCAACATGGCCTAAACCGCCTAAACCCACCCTAGCCCCCTTAAACTCAACCCTCAACTTTAAATTAACCCAGCGCACCTACCGACCCCAGTCTGCGACACGTTCTGTGTAGTGTGTGAGTGTAAGATGGCCGCTTGCAGTTTGGTAGTTTGTTTCCCCTGGGGCTGTCTTCATGTGGCTTTACAGGCAGCCTGCCTGAGGCTCCAGTGGACAGAGCAGCTGAATTCAGCGACACCCGAAGCTTGGCGAAGGGATCAGCGAGATGACTCGTTCAGCGGGTTCTAAGAAACTGGTTCCAGCTTGTACCCAAGGACAACCCTGTGTGTAGCATCCTAGAATCCCATTTGATGGAAGTCATCTAGGGTCATCCAACGAAGGACAATCACTCATTTTCTGATGCCTCGGTCCAAAACAACCCAAGATGGCTAGCAAACGCGCTTTCGTGCTGCTTTCCGGTTTTGAATGACCGTGCGCCACATGCTCCTGGTAGGCCCTCTACAAATCACACAGGAAACACGTGGAGTTGTAAGAGATGAATACCTTGAGCTGTTCTGAACACAAATCACCATTTGGCCTATTGTTCACTGAGGCTTCGCAGGAAATTATCCACCTGAGATCTTCGTGCTTAGGAGCAGCTCATGTGAAAGCCTGGCTTCTCAAGTATTGACTCAGATCCTCAGAAGAATGTGTAGAGTTCGCGAGAGGATGCGCAATTTTCTCTGTTGGTCCGCAGTGCAAGACTCGGATTTGGATTGCGCGCAGGAGGGAAGCCACGGCAGCGCTGTGCTCGCAAGGACTGTTTCTCAGACAGCAGAAGGGGTGGGTGGAGCTGCGGCGGTTTTCGATGCGTTCAGTTCGGGCAAAGGACTTCCGGACATGCCTTTTTGAAGTTGGCGAGCACGAAGTTGCTTGCAAATTTTCAGCGGCAGCACTTCGGAGGGGGCGGGGGGAAGTGAATTGGAAAAGTGTGTGTCTGTGTGTGTGTGTGGGTGCCGAGTCCCTAATTTACTCATGGACCAACCATTTCTCACGCAGAGGGGCAAAAGCACAAAACATAAACCACGCCACGCAGCACACCACACAACACACAGCGTAAGAGAAGCAATCACATTCCGACTTTTGTCAGCAGCTAGCCCCATTGCAACCTCGAACCTCGCCTCGACAAAGAGACCGGAAAGAAGTGTTACAAATCAGGCTGTGGCTTGCTAGTGTGCATCGGAGTTTCCTGCATGGATTCCTTGAAGGTGCATTGATGCAACACACTCACGATACTAACGCTGCCACGGCTCATTAATTGCTGATACTTCGCCTCAGCTAAGGATGGTCGTGCCTGTGCTTCGCTGCTGCGGCCCCTGGCAGTTCACCTACCCTGCCATGCAAGTTTTCGTTTTCTCTCTTGGGAATGCCTAGTCTATTGCCCGAGCTTCGTCACAGCAAGAAGTGGGATTCAGCTGACTTGCTGCATTCCCGCGTTCATGGCAGACTCCAGTGATTTGCTCGCGTGAGCAATCCTGGTTGCCTGGCGAGCTGGGGCATGGGCTATACAGCCTACACAGTCTTGAGCCAGGTGTTCGCGTGAAGCTATTGGCCGCTTGAAGCCTTCAACTACTTAAGACTTATTTGTCTTGGCTTGAGGCCATGAACAATCACGCGAATCCTGGAAAGGAGTTGGAGCAAGCACAACTCTATCTCTTGGGGCAGCCCTCAGTGCCCAACAGGCTTAGACAGGGTTGGCTTGAGTTGTGTATGACGTTTTCCAGCCTCTTACCCCAATTCAAATTGAAGCAACTGGTGAAACACCAGTTGCCAGCACGTACAGCACTGAGTCCTTACCTGGATTCAGCCCTCCTGGAAATATTTTGCGGCCCCGGCTGCAATCCTAGTCTTATTCTTTTCGAGGGGCTGTACTCCACCCTGCGGCTATCTTGAGATCAGCCCTGGTGCACAGGAGATGTTTTTGTGGCCAATGGATTGCGGCCAACCAGGCCCTTGACATTTCAACGACTGAAAGTCCTTGGCACCACGCGTGCATTTGAGACAAGTCCTTTTTGCAGTATGCACGATTTGGGGAGATTGGAATTGGGCAAGATGCTTTTCAGGCACAGTTTCAGGCAAACTCTTGAAATCACTGAATAGGTGTGTCGCTTTGCGGCTGAGTGGTTTGCCAACTTTTGCTGAGGTCTTTATTTGTGTATGTTTGTGTTATTTTTTAAGTGCGTCCTGAAGCGTGTCTTCTTTCACTTCCATGTTTATTTAGCATCAGGTGTGATGCTGAGGGCCTGTGGGGCGGCGCCTTTGCAAAACACAGCTTAGGCATTTCGTCACAATCTCTCCGGTTCTCAATGGATGTTTAATGCTCGGACAGTTGCATCCATTGTCCGCCACACCACAGAGGCCCCACAAATGGACCAAATGCAACTTGTGGATGAAGCGGACAGCCCCCTGCATGAGGTGGAAGCATCCCTGCGTTTTGGCCGGCTGCACGCTTAATGACTCGCACGGAAGGCTGGGGAAATGGGCATGGGTCAAAATTAAACCACCAGGGGACCGCAGGTTTCAGTCCACGTTTCCATTTACCAGGGTTCCATGTTGGGCACCTAATTGTGACCCACAGCCAAATCTGTGACAAGCCCAAGACATTAGTGCGAAGGCCTTCACGGCAGTAGAATTCGTTCACCACGTCGAATTTGCGCGCCACTTCTCGGTTTTTGGGGCCGTCAGGCAGCTGGGCCCCCGAGGTGGCTGGTTGAATCCTGGAGCATGCTCATGATCCACATGGGGCTGTGTCTTTTTGTGAGGGGTACCCCGTTTTGGTGGTTTTCAAAGCGAAACCATGGGGAAAGCCACCTTTTGGGGGGGGGTCCCCTGAAAGAGAAGACACAGGCCCATGTGATTTTCGTTCGAGTGTAGAAGTTCGCAGCTTTGCACCGGCAGCGTCCAGCTCATTGACAATCAGGGAGCCTGGACAGGTCTTGCTGGTATTGTGCCTCAGCTTTCGGTTTGGGAAGTAACAATGCTCCCATCGCTGGAGAAGGCGTTGCTAGGGTGTTTTTCTGTTCAATGCAATTCACTTTTGGTTCAATACCAATTTTGATGCACATTGACCAGCTCGTGCAAGGTATTGTTTTGCCTTCTTCAGCTGAAGTACCGTCGCTGGCATGCCCCAATGGAAGTGGGCATTGGCTCTGCCTTGGAAAAGCACCATGAGTCGGGATCTGGTTTTTCTCGGCGCAATCAGCTTGCAACCAGTTCTTGGCAGGCAGTTTGACATGGGCAGCGTTTGCTCGCATAACTCGTTACAGTACCAGGAGAATCGCCGATCAAGGGCTACACACGCGAACATGTTCGAGCTACTCGAGACCCCCAACATGTGTTTTTTTGGTATCACTCACCGGTAGAGTGGACATAGAAGTCGGGCCCAACCGACTCTACACGGAGTCCAGAGAGGACATGGCGTACCTTTGAAGTCATGGGCTGTGCGATCACATTGCGTGGCTTCACACCGAGGCCTGGGATGTGGAGCCTGGCAAGAGCAATCAAGCCTGCTCGATGTGGACCATTGCCAGCCCTCAGCAAGTTTGAGCCTTGCATGTAGCACATGTTTGGTGTGACGGGGGGCAAATCCAAGATCTCCATTTGTGTGATTCAGCATATCCTTCTTTGCAAAACTGTGCTCACGAGGTTGTTAGTACCGTGTTGCATACAGGACAGACACCATGTCAGTTACACTGCATCACATTCGATAGGCTTGGTAGCTCAGTGCGCGACATAATTGTTGCCTGAGTTGCGGAGAAAGGTCGCTTGGGTTTGGGCAGATTTGTTGAAGGGCAGCTGCTTGTGCAGAGTCTACTGTTGCAATGTACTGTTGCCGTCGTCCTTGGGATCTAATGACACAATTGAGAGCTGCTCACTGTCATGAGAGCCCAGCATGCTTGTGTTGAAGAACAAGGGTCTCTTTCTTGACCCACATTGCCCAAGTGATTGTTTTGACCTCACAGGTGAATGCCCAGCAACTGGCTGCATTGTGTATCTTGAAGCACGCTTCACCTTCCGGCGTGAACAAGAGAATAGCAAGCGGCGAATCTTGCATACGCGAAAACAACGCTGGCCAGCTGGGAGTTGGACAAGGGACACCGGGCATTCCCAACTGTTACTGCAGGCCTTGGCACTTGGTCAAGAGAGCCTCAGCATGGCAGGAGCTTCTGAAGAGCCACCGCGGGCGGGGCAACGGCTCTGGCTCGTTTGCCGAGTGTTCGGTAAGGATGCTGCCCCGAAGTCGCATAAAAGCTTGGTGGTTCTGTTGCGGAAATGTTTGTGTCTTTTTTCGGGCCCCCCCCAACATGGTGAATTTCCTGGTGGCTTCCCTTAAAGCCCCTCAAACGAACCCCCAACTGAGGCTCTTCAAAATGATAGTTGTTCATAGGAATGAGTTCGTGCACGCTTTCTTGAGCAGCTTTGTGTGTTCGGGGCCAGTCTATGGACTCCGCTTTGGCCACAGGCTTGGGATGAGGTTATATCATAGGCCCAAGCTCAAGGGGCAAGGGCATTGATGCTTGCATAAACATGCATAAACCCAGTACCCTGAAGCTTCAGCTTGAAGCCTGAACACCCTGTCCACCTTCCGAACTGCTCCCTTTCTCAAGCTGCCTAGATCCCAATAGATATGCAGAACAGGTGAGTTCAAGAAGTCATACAAGTGAGTCGGAGCAAACATGTATGAGCTGAAGCACGAGCTCGGAATGCGTACCAAGGTACAGTGAACAGCTTTTCACTTGTGACCTTGTGAGATTCTAAGGTCAAGCTGTACTTTCATATGACTCAAGACGCGTACCCTGGCCACATGGCTCAAAGATCCGATTGCCAGGCCTCGCCTGCGCCTTGCCTGCCGGGTGTCAGCGCGCCGCCTCATTGGCCGGGGCCTTCTGCCGGTTCACGTCGGTTTCCTGGAAGCCGGAGACGAGACTGAGGCGGCGCAAGGTGTTGCGCTCTGAGAAGCTGGGCGGGGCGCAGGCCGTGTGGGGGAGGAGTTTGGAGTCGGTGTAAACGACAAAAGCCGGGGATGGGACCCCTATCATGACAGACAGACTCACACACTCACGCCTTTCTTCATGGTTTCCCGGACACAGGTCAGGCTTTGAGAGGTGAAGGCAAAGCTCCGACTGGGCAAACAAAAGATGAGTTTGGCATGTCAAAGGACTTTTTGTCCGCCAAGGCATCAAATGTTCAGCAATCGCCACGCAAGGCCACGGCTGGATTTGTCAAAATGGGCATTGGCACGAGGGGTTGTGGCAGAGTTTGAAACATGGACGATATGGCAGAACATCAAACACCAGCATTTTTGGCGCAGGCTTGATTTTCAAGTTGCCACTATTGTCAGGTGGGGCCATTTGGTTCCGCTGGGTTCCGGTCTCAGGCCTACCGCACCCGCATGCGCGAGCTCGAAATTGAGTGAGGCCAGGTCTGTAGCCAGCCCTTGTTTGTGGATCGGCCCTGGAGCTTTGAACTCGGCTGTTAGCATTGACGCTGTTCGCCAAAACGCACTGTGGCCTGCCCAGTTGGGATAAGGGAGGCCGGAAGCTTCCCCATGCTTACTGAGCTTTTTGTGGCTTGCGTCTCTGCAAGGAGACGCAATTGTCACGGACTTGTGCAAGTGTCCGGTGCTTGCATTGCTGGATTAACCCAAGCATTCTCCGCTGGTATTACGCAGGACTTGCCGAATGGCAACGGTCCTTCATTCAAAGGCCAGTGCTCGCGTTGAAACTTGCATGGTGACCAGTCGGTTGAACGCGCTGCTGCAGTTGTGGGCAATTGTGGCCTGCCAAACAGGCCAAGCGGAACTTGCAGTCTTTCACACTGGCATTCAGCGGCCTTTTGTTTTGCGAAGACCAACCTGGCACGTTAAGCAGAATCCATCAATCTGCGGGCAATTAAGCACAGAGAGCATGTGGGATGACTGCCACAGCCAAAGCACAACCCACTTTCTCCTGGACCTGGCTCACCTCGGATGGCTTCATTGGAGTCCCAAACCAAGCCAAACCAAGCCAAGCCAAGCCAAGCCAAGCCAAACTGACAAAAGCCGCATGGGACACATGTTAGATTGAGTTTAATTGAAGTTTGTTGCCTTTGGAAGAAGAATGAAGCCTTCTGGATCCTTCTGGCCAAGTGCTGCCTCTCCTTCCGCAAATTGGCTCGAGCTCGCCCGAAGTTTTTTTTTTCGAGCAGATCGCAAGGCTGGGACAAGACACCGGGACAAGTGGAGCAATGTAAGCTGGAAGGGCTTGTCGAGTGAATTGCCGCATGGGTTGCTGTCAAAACCAGTTCCATGCTCATTGACATGCATTCTTCCCGTTTGATCACAGAGGTGAGCACAATTGAGATGTCCAGTGATCACTGATCACATTGATATTGTGAGATGCTTTCCTTTTTCCCCGTCTTCCGACCGAAGCATGGACAACATCTCCCTATTTTAGCCATTACACCCCTGATGAACAACGAGCAGTCGGACGAGCATATCTGACGCTTCTGTTCAGCGAAGTTGAAGAAGCCAGAGGTGATCAAAAGTCGAATCCGAGGTGTGGGTGATGCCAGTTGTGTGTTCTTGATGGAGTGGGAACTAAACGACATGTTGTAATTATACAATCGGAGTTCCTGGGAGCAAATGAGAACTGGATGCCACAAGCATTGCTTTGGCAAACTCAGCTGCAAGCTCCCTGATGCAGGCTTCGGAGGCATGGGCGGCTTATCGCCTTGTCGACTCGACTCGACCGATCACGATAAATGCCTCGGATGGTTTCAGCTCACAGAGCCCTGGCATTCGGATACTGTGCTTGGTTCAGAGTCGGTGCCCTGTTACTTTGCGGCTTGAAGACTTGTTTCTCCTTCAATCACATGGTCAACAGACCTATATAAGGAGTTGCGACCTTGGCTCACATGGACAACAGCATGCAATGTGCGGAAATGCGGAGCCTTGGGGCAGAACAGCTGAATCTGCAAATCGTTCGAATCCACCATGAGTTAGGCAGTGGTGCGCTACGCACGTCCTGTATATGCAATGCTGATGTTTGGATGCACAGGATATGTATGCGTGCATGTTATATTGATTGTTGCACTTGTATATAATATACGCATACGTATGTATATATATATATATTGTATGCTATCCCGTCGCGAAGCCTACCAAATTTGCTTTTGCGTGTGTTTTCCTGCTGTGGGTCTCAGCAATCATGCACATGTGTTGCCCTTTGCCATGGGATTTCTCAAGTACAATCTAGAGAGAACAAGTAAACGCATGCACACATACATACATTGAGCATGAATATGTTTAGTCGAGAGACACACACACACACACATGTGCCCGACGAGTTGCGCAAGTGCAATCAAATTGGCTTTCAATCAAACGGCAATTATTCGTCCGACATCTATGGCGCTTTAGCTGAGTTAGACCCGACTACTTCACTATCCACATATTTACTTTGCAACAGACATGCAAATCCTCTCGTTGCGCCCATGCTGCAGCTACACAAAGTTGTACCGTAAAACATATTGCTGGTGAGTACGCTCCAGCTAAGTTGTGACTTACCGTCATAAAAGCCCGCAATTGACGAAAACTACGGATGATATCCAATGCTACGCCTCACAACAGATGGCTCCCAGAAAGCCTCTTAAACTGGCCCGCATCCTAGATGGTGCTTCCACTTTACTGTTGCTGCTATCTTGCAGTGATATCCAAACCAAACCATTCCAGCAGATTTTGTGACATCACAGGCAGAGTGATATGTGCTTACATGACTTGCTCTAAGCATTGCTGTCCATTTGGCATGTTGCGTGTGCATGCGTAGCATGTGTGTGATGCTAAAGAGGTGATATTCAAACCCGTGGGAATACCTCCAGTTTGCGCGTAAAACCTCGGTTTTCCATGCTTTCCAAGGGCATTGGAGCAACTGATGCATTTTAGCAAAGATCAAGAAGCCTCTTAAACATATCTTAGATTTAGTCATGGCAAGTTTGCCCATCATGTTTGTTTTGATTCGCGCGGTTAATTGTGAGAACGTCGATCCGCACATGGCAAGCTTGCCTATCGCAGGGATGCTCCATTTGCGAGCACATGATTGCAGTCCGACTTCCTCTATCATCCAAACCAGCTTGACAGGGTCCAATACCCCTTGTATGATCATCCCATCAATGGCATGGGGTAGGACTGTTTCTTTTTTGTTGGTCCACCGAACATGTTGCGCCCCATTTCCTAGTTTGGTTCCTCCATAGGACGTTTTGCAGTGGCTCTCTGCAGCCCCGACTACAGGAGCACTAGCAATGCAGGGTCCATCCGTGTGATCAGTTGTCCGAATGAGGGGTCAGCGTTCATGGCCGTACCATGGATTTGTCCTAAAATCAAGTACCGGGTATCTCTCTCTCTCGTTGTATCCACGCCTGCTTATTATCCACTAGCCATGGCTTTTTGCTGGCCTCCAGTCGAGCTGACAGGAGTCAAAACATACAGGAGGAAGGTGAAGGGAAAAGGAAGAAAATGCAAAAGCAGAGGAAGGTGAATGGAAGGGGAAGTGGAGGAACTGGAGGAACTGGAAAAAATACAGGAAGTGAAGGAAGTGGAGGAAGTGAAAACGGAAGAAGAAACTGAGGAGGAAGAAAAGAGGAATGGTAAGAGGAAGGGGAACAAGAGAGAGGAAGGGGATGTTGCCGGAATGAGCTCGCGAGCCTCTAGATTCAGATGCACTTCTTGGCCAGGCCGCCCTCCGAGTTTTGGGCATCCGCCACTTGCCTATCACACTAGCAATGTCCAGGAGCGGGAGGGCTTGCCACAGGGGTCCTGATAGTTCACTTTTTGGACGGCCAGTTCGACATGTTTGAAGAGGCCATATAAGAAACCCTGTGAGAGGAACACGAGGTGCACAAATGGGCAAAGTGCCGACTCTCCATTGGTATGTTTGGGTAGGTTCTGTGCCACCTTTAGATGGCTCAGCTTCATGAATGGCATAAACCATTGCAAATTGGCTGCGAAGCGGGAGACTTTGTTTCTTTGTTCGTTCGGTCGGTGGGTTACTCGGTGGGTTGGTTGGTCGGTGGGTCAGCTGGCTGTTTGTTTGGCTGGTGTTTGTCTGGCTGTCTGGCTGTCTGACCGTCTGGCTGTCTGGCTGTCTGGCTGTCTGGCTGTCTGGCTGTTTGTGTGGTTCTGGCTGGCTGTCTGCCTGGCTTTGTCTCGCTGGCTGTCTGTCTGTCTACGTGGCTGTCTTTGTCGCTGCCTGGCTGTTTGGGCTGTGCCTGTGTGTCTGTGTCTCTGTATCTATGTGTGCTTGTGTCTTTTGGTCTGTGTGCCTATGTGCCTGTGTGTTTGTGTGTCTGTGTGCCTGTGTGCCTTTGTGCCTGCGTGTCTCCCTGCGTTTTTTCTCTCTCGCTCTCTCTCTCTCTCTCGTTAAAATCGGTGGTTACTTTGCTTACAAGTGCAAGTGCTGTAGTGTTCAAACAAACAGTCAACCGATTGTAGTCTGCAGCAATCCACCTTTTACACATGCGATGTAGTGAGCTCAAGGCCTGCAGTCACATGCAACACAAATGCAGGAAGTGAAGCATGTAGTTTGACACGGCCCCTCAGTTAAAAGGTCTTTGTAGTACCTTTTCAACTGAAGTGCAAAAACATGGATTGGCAGTAGTGATGAAAACCATTGTTGTTCATCAATTCTACTGTAGTGACAAAAGTAGTAACCTGCACTCAGTAGTTCTCGCTGTTCAGGTTCCAGCTCGATGTAGTGCGCTGGACGGAAGTAGTGAGGGTTGTTGTAGTAGAGCATGTGCTCAAAGATGTAGTCCCCAGTTCTGGGTGCGGTAGTCTTGGACCTTCTGTAGTCGACTGTCCAAGGTCGCAAAGTAGTTCGTGGTGAAAAAGGTTGTCATGTAGCTTGGTGCTCCTCGTAGTCGCTCATCGTCGATCTCGGGACATGACATGTGTTGGTTGTAGTCCCTGAGGTAGCGGTGTAGTAGTGCCTTGTGGTGTTGTGTGAGGTTTGTCATGGTGAGTAGTGTAAATCCGTAGTGCTGGATACTCTTGCAGAGGATTGTAGTGATTGCCTTGTGTTGGTAGTCGTGGAGTTGGTCACTGTTGTAGAGGTAGTGGAGTAGTTCAGGTAGTAGTAGTGGCATGTGGTAGTTCCAAAGATAGTTGTTCCTGAGACTGTAGTTGTCGGTGAAGATGGTCATGTTGTAGTTCACCTTGCAGATGGTCTGTGGCAGTGTTGTAGATGGGAGGTAGTAGTTCTGTTGTACCGACATCATGTAGGAAATGTAGTCTCTGGTGAAGTGGATAAATTGTCCTGAAGTGAGGTACCTCAGGAGTAGTTGTTGTTCAATCTGCAGTTGGATGATGACGTAGTTGTTGTTGTCGCCGGTTGTAGTGTGAAGGGAAGTCGTATGGTAGTAGTGCACGTTGGCTGCTTCAGGTAGTGAAACGCTGAGCAGGGTGGAGTTGTAGTGGGGCATCCGAAGGTCTCCAGGGATGCAGTAGATGGGTTGTGTGTAGTCCGCGAATGTAGTGAAACGGGGCAAAACAAAATGA